AATAACAATATTTTTATGTAATGAATCAACATCTATATGAAACAAAGGAAAGGAATTTTCTAAGCAAAGTGCCTCCTCAATGGAAGAGGTTTAATAGGGGCTGAGAATGTTAAGCTACTCAAATCTCCTAAATATTCCCAGAGAGTTCCATTTCTATTGTTAAACTGGTACTCTTTTCTGATGAGTGCTCTAACACTTACATGTCTGATCTTCCTGAGTTAAAGAAGCAGTTCTTGCTGTGAGTAAGTCACTTGATATTTTTCAAGTGGTCATACAAAGCTTCTGAGTTATACTCCCTGTTTTAAGAACAGAATTTGTTGAGTTTATCATTCTCTTGTTTAAATTATCCAGTGTCACCAAAAACATGTATTCAGTCTCAAAAGCCTAAATTCTTCATTATTTCATGATGATCTTTGGTGAGTTGAGTATCTTTAACACACAATTATTTATAAATATTATGAGTTGAAAATTACTAGCTTTCCCATCCAAAGGCGTTACAATTTTCTGTGTTATTTTAAAACAACAAGGACTAGAACTTCATTATCCTACTAGATGTAGATGACCAAACCCAAGGACCCTACAGCTCCCTGGGGACCCACTGTCTCCAATGCAGCCCCTAGTACCAACATCTTTATTAGTTAGAATTTATTCCCAAGCAACAAAATGTTACTATAGCCAAATTAGGCTGAAGCAAACAGACAAGGATTGAACAGTTGAGCTCAGGAACTGCCAAGAATCAACAGTGACTGAAGTTAAGAGGTGCACAAACCACAACAATGATTTTTTGGCAGGAATTGTAATAGGAAACTGCGGCTGGTATAGAATAAATGCCAAATACTTTTGGGCTCTTTGTTTTGCTATTCAAAATTTAAATTCCAAGGTACTTATCTGAAACATGTTTATCTTCTGACACATTCTTATTTCTTGATTACAGGAATTTAGAGCACTGACACTGGAACAAGAAATAAATACATAATAGCCAATGCACATTTAAATAAATTAAACTGTTATACATTTATAAAAATTAGTGATCTGTTATAAATTGAAGATATTTTATGTTTGGGCTATATGAGCTAATAAGTGTCTTCTTATTTTCTGGTGGCGCTGGGGGTTAAATTTAGTGATGGTGTATCACTGAGTTCCATCCCAAGCACTCCTCTCTACCCCTTTTCTTGAGACAGGATCCAGTACAGTTTCACAAACTGACCTCAAACTTGCAATCCTTTTGCTTCAGTCTTCCAAGTAAACTGGAATTACAGTCATGCACAACAGGCCTGTCGTTTTCACTATATTTCTATTATTATTCTATATTTTGGGGGTTTTTTTTCTTCCTCTTAATTTTTCCTGCATCATTGTTTTTTTGTTTTTTGTTTTTTTTTTTCTTTTTTTTTTTTTTTGAACCAGTAATCGAACTCAAGACCACATGCTTGCCAGGCAGGTGCTATGCCACTGAGCTATATCCCTGGCCCTTCTCGGCTGTATTTTAGAATTCTTTTCCTAAGGAAGATTTAGAATCTGAATAGTGTGGTATATCTCCCTTACCTTTCAGGATGTCAGTAAAATAGAAACTTATAAATATCATAGTCAATAATAATCATAGTGAAAATAAGATAGGCGATGTCTGTAACAAGCGAGAGAATTTACAGACCTTTGAAGACAAAGTGGAAGGTAACAGGTTAAAGAATAAAATAAATAAAAGAAGCCACAGCACCGAAGGTATAATGGATGATTTTCCAACAGAAGCCCTGGAGTTACTGCACAGCATCTCCAGGGGAAGTAGAACTAAGTAATTATCGAAAGACTGAAAATGAAAATAAGGGGGAAATTCGGTAAGAACATGAGGCAAATTAGGGGTGAATTAATTCACACCCTGTCTGACCACCTCATCTCTAGACATCGAGGGTTTTAAACATGAGCACAACTTCTTTGTGAGGATACTAAATGAACTTGGATTCCAAGTGTACATATTGGTGCCTGAATGTTGAGCTGCTTCATATTTGGGTATAAAGATCAAATAAATAGCTGGTGCCTTTTTGCTGTCACCTTAAAAGAAACCCAAGGAGACATGATTTGCCCACTGCATCTAGAGCTGTCAAAATTCTCACTCAAATCCAAAAGTTAGAGAAAAACAGTCTTATTTCAAAAATAATAAAGGCAAATTACACCAGAAATTCAGTTTTCCTTAAAGATGAACCAATACTTATAGGATTAATGCTGAGCTTCAACTACTAATAATTCTTCCTTATTTCCCATAGTTATACAAACTTGGTTTTTAATAAGTCACAAGGTTATGCCAAAGATCATATTTTTCAGTTTTCAATGAAGTGAATCGACAGTACAGTCAAGTTCTTGCCAGCCGAATGAAGCAAGTACAGATGTGCTCATTTTCTTGAAAAGAACATGACCCTGTACAGGCTTTCTTCAGACAAAATGCAGAAGCAAAGGCTGGGTCATCACTGAGATGATCTTGGGAACGGAATGCATACACAAGAGCCTCAAAACAAGAGGCTAGGAGTCTTGAAACTGTGGGAGATCACTCTAATTCCTTTTTTCTTTCTTTTCTTTACTTTTCTTTTCTTTTCTTTTTGTCTTCTTGCTTTTCTTTCTGTTACTAGTAGCTGAACTTATTGGTAATTAATGTTGCAGCCAAAGACAATGAGGTACACAAAGAGAAATTTCTATATTAACTGAAGAAAAATTTTCCTGGAGAAAAAGGTAACTTAAAGAAAAAAGAGAAACCTTAAAAATTAGTTAATACATTCAGAGATAATTGAGAAGATGTGACATTCATTATTTTAAAAATCTATTGAAAGGAACAATCAGGAAAATTAAAGAATTCTCAAAGACCCCTTCTACCCACAAAAACATCAGTGAAAAACTGGAAAATAATATTTTCAAAAATTTCCAGAGATAGAGAATGAAAATGATCAAAAAGAAATATAAGCAACAATTCTAAGAGTTCTATATTTCATAACTGCAATCATAGAGAAAGCAAAATTGCACAAAGAAATTACTTTTAAAATAAAAGACAACTATCTAAATCTGAAGAAAGATGCACGTACTTAACTGAAGGATTCTGTCTCAAGAACACCTTGAGATGTCAGAAATCAGAGGATAAAAAGATTAAACTAAGAAAGCGCTGCTTTCAGGAGAAAAAGGTACTTTGGAGAATAATCATTGTGATCAGACATTTGGTTCTTCAGTCAGACTCACAGTGAGATCACAGTTTCCTGCCTGAAGTTGAGTATGTTTGAGTTATTGTTGCCAATGAGGTTTGAAAGGAAGAGCTGGCTATCATGCTGGATGAATATTTTGAAGCTATTATGCAGTTTGCTTGCACTATCTTTTCTGCTACAGACAGCAATGATAAAGGTGGTGACAACCCTCACAGTCCAGTTGTACTGTGACAATGACATGTAATAATCCAAACCTGATTTAGGATGATTGTATATTGTGATGAAGCAATAAACTTGTAGGCCTTGATATTTGTTGTAGTCACTGCCAACATAGATCTAATTAAGAGAACACACAGAAATGAAGGAAAATCAAAGTGATACTGGGCAACAGAGTAAAATGAAATAATAACTTCTAAATGCTGAGGAAAATAATAGTCACCTAGAATATCCAATCCTGCCAGTTGACCACAGGAAACACAAAGACATGGTCAGACACAAAAACTAACTTAGTACATTCTTTCTTCAGATATTAGAGCGATACATTCAGTAAAAAATATAAGCAAAATAAGGAAGATTTGGAATAATTTTCATTTTGTAAGAGTGAGATAACTAGCATACTTCAAGAACAACTGTTCAGATTTTGTGATGCATCGGCTTTCACTAGATGATTAACATGTGCATTTTGGGCAAGCTGACATGACCTAAAACCTTTTCTTCAGAGCAGAGGTCAGAAAAGGGCACTCCAGCTGTTCTTACACAAGAGCAAGGATCAGTTGCATCACTGCTGTCTTCCTCTTGAAATTCACAAACCTCTAACACAGGAAAAGAATAAGGACAGGAACAGAATTTACAGGAGTCACAGCAGAGCTGTGTTAAGAGAAAACTGGCAAATGAATTCCTAAGAACAGAAGGGGACTTCCTAACGTGAGGAATAAGGCAAAGCTCAATCACTGGCACTCACAACGATCAACTGAATGTGTACGGTACACTCAGCTGACAGAAATAATTTAGTGATTCGTTACAGCAAATTAGGTGCTGTAATGAAAGCGTGGTTGCGGTTGTTACGCTTGTTATGTCGTGGTTAATAAGATGAGCTCAGTGAGCGATATCGCCGCTCCCTCTCTTACAGTGTGTATGTAACAGGGAACGGTGAATAAAAAAAAGTCTCACTTCACTGCACTTCTATATTTGAAAATTTTAAGCATCGAGCCTCACTCGTTTGCACCTATGCATATGAGAGAATGAGCAAGAGGGCTCGTTCTTTACACCTGCATGTGAGAGAAGAAAAAATAGGATGAGATTACCAGGGTAACGATTAGATTGTGTAAATATAAAATTCCAAATTTCACCTAAAAGTTTAGCAGTAATAATAATAATAAGGACAGGGGGCATGGATTGAGTTTCTTTAGTTGACTACAATTCAAAATCGGATTATTTTACTGGAGACAGAATTGGGAAAGGTATGTGTAAGGGTCTGGAAGCAACAGAGGACACTGAGAGGCAGTGGGCGGTTTATCCAGACAGATAAAACCACAACAGATCATGGGGTTATGAATGCAAAACGAGCGCTTTTCCACCAATCTCATGGACAAAATGGAAATGTAAAAATACTGAGAATGTAGTGCTGTGGTGGAAATAACCCGGGCGGTAAACTCCAGCCCAGATTCCGTGAACTTCTGAAAGCAGCCTTGCTAGAGAAGTCGGCTCTGCCAGGAGGTCCCGGGTCAAAGAGCCCTACACCAGGCACCGCCCCCACACGCAAGAGTCGGAGAGCTGTCCAATCCCTAGCCCCAATGTAGCCTAACTCCGCCCCCGACCGACCGGCCCCGCCCCTCCGTTTCCCTGGAGACGCTCTCCGCGTCCTCTCTTTCCTAAACTCTGCCTCTGAAACCTGGCTAAAAGCAGGGCAGCGCGAGCGCCCCGCACCTGGTACTGGTGGGGGGCTTCTTCCTCCAGACAGAAAACCAGTGTTGCTCCACAGTCAGTCCAGCGAGGTTTGTGATGGCGTGGGCTAGGCTGGGGACAGGACTTTGTTACTTCTAGGAGAGCTGGGCTGTTCTTCCAGGCTGTTTGTGCCCTGACCCCATGAGACCTTCCTCCTTCTGCGGTGTCCAGCTTCCTGAGTGGAGACCCTCGCTGTTTAGTTCAAAAACGAAGGCTTTTATTGCTGGGCAATCCCCCCGGAAAAGTAACTAGGGTGTAAGAATAAGTCCGGGGAGAGAACCAAAAGGGAACTCAGATGCTCTTGATTTTGGTAAAATTAATTAATTAATCAATTAATAAAATTAACCATGTCTTATAATTTTAAAAGAACAAACTATTTGAGTATATAAATACATACACATATTACAGATGGCTTGGTATTCCTGCAGTTAGTGATTAGCTTCACTTCTTAAGTTTACCTCAGCGCAAGTAATTTAGTATTTTTTGAATGAATGAACTGAATTTCACAACTGGAGAGAGCAGGGGAGTTATCCTACTGACTTGTAACTTTTGTTTTTCCTCTCGCTTTTGTTGTATAACGTTTTGCTTCCTGGTTTCCAGGATGAAATCTCTAACGCTAGAGAGATGTTCATTAATAATCTGTAAATGTAAACCAAGTGACACGTGGCCTGGTGTCAGGCACTTTTGCTACTTTGTGTTATTTAACCATCAATAAATCAGTTGATGGGAGAAACTTGATTTCTATTTATTTAGGAATCTGCCTAATTATCTACCACAGAGTGCTAGAAGTTTCAAAAAGTTTAAGGCAAAGAATAAACATATTTAATGACTCCTTAAACTCATGAATAGTTTTTACTGTTATAAAGAGCACAATTTCTGATTTTTCTTCTGTATGTTTCTTTAAGCTTCTTTAATACAAGAGTCTGTGGTGATGGTTCTGAGAAGTTTTAATTCTTATAATTCTGTCATATTTGTTCTGAACTCTCTAGGGGATATATAGTACATTTTCTTGCTGTGGCTTGTTGCCTTATTTCTCTCATGCCAACTTGTACCCCAAAGTGACTGAGTCTGGGAACAGGTCAGCCTCAGATATAGTCCTTTCCGGAGTAGCCTCTGTCTACACTGCACCCCTGTGCCATGGTTCCTGAGGATGGCATCCCCTGGGGATAGAGGGCAGGAGGGGAGGGTTATTCTTTGAAGAATTTTACTTGGGGGCCAGAAATTTAAACTCACACCATGAAACACATTTCTCAAACCTTTCATCCTGTATTTTTCCATTCTCATTTGTCTTTGCACGTGGGGGCCAAACTTAGAGACTGTAACCGCTGATACAAGAACCAACCAGCAGATCAAAGATTGCACCAAATCTCTTCTGAATATCAACAGTGGAATGGCTGCAGGCGGCCTTTTGATCTTTGTCTCAGCCCTGTGGTGCCACATGTAGCACTGCCCACTTGCTGGCACTGACGGGCTGCCTCTGGGTCCTCTGAGCAGACTGCTTCAGCCTGGGTTCTGTGGGCTAAGTTCACTTGGTACCAGCCAGAGAGGTACTTCTCACTCTCCTTCTCTCTTACCTGGACCTGAGCGATTCCCCTTCTTGTAACTACACACCTGTAGTGTGTTTTTCTCTGCAGTAACAAGCTGGGAGAACTCTGATGGCCAAGGGCAGTGTGTTCCATTTCTGTTACAGACCCAAGTCATTTACTGCACGGCACTGGTTGTATTCCTCACCCAAGTCTGGGTTGGGGGTCCCACTGTCTGGTCAGCACAGGGAAAACACTGCAACTCATATTAACACAGAATAAAAGGCTTTCATCACTCTGTAGATAAAACTAAAGGCTGAATTGTCAGGTCCCTGCACATACTTGTATTTATTCCCTCTTGCATTTTCCCTTTGGTTGCTTCTGCTTGCTAGAATACAGCTAATTCCTACTTTAGGAGAATTCAGCAGAAATAATACTAAACTTTTAAGTTCATAAAAAGACAGTGTTTGCATAGATAATTTGCATGCATTTCAAATATTCTATGCATCAACAAATTCAGGTCACACATTATTCATTGCATAAAATAAAATACCTTCTGTGACCATGTACTGATCATGAAAAAATACCTTGCCCAACAGGTATAGGCAAGGTAGGATATGAATTTACAGCAAAAAGAGAGCCTGCTGGATTTCCATCCTATGAGCTTAAATTTTCCAACACAGATTGATTGAGGGATATTTTTCCAACATGTAGTTAATAACTTTTCCCACTTGCTAATTCAGCTCTGACCACCCCCCATTCCGTTTGTGCCTTGAGGCTTGCCAGCAGGGCTTGCAATACTTACATTAAACTAAATTTAAGAGTAAAGGTGCTCCTGCTGCTCATGTTCTCAGATCAGAGGAGAGCAAAATGAAGGAACTGGCAGCTGAAACTTTAATGGTAGGAAACGTTGGCGTAGAGTTTAAAAAAAAAAAAACTGTAGTTGATCTATGTGACAAAGAAGACATGTTCCTCTCCATGTACATCATTCACATTTGGTTCCATTAGATGCTTATATTTTCTAGAAAAAAACTGTATATTGCAAGTAAAGATGAACAAGGGTGAATTTTATATGACAGACTGCTAGACTTTCCTGGGAGGAGGCATTCTATGCACCTGTTTGGATTAGAGTTGTGGGGTCTTATTTCTCCATCTGCAAAATGTTGCATCTTCCTAGTTTGGGGAAGCATCTTGATGAACCTTCCAAAGATACCTGAAATTGTGCAGAATTTCCCCTGGTCCCAGGCTATTGTATAATGTTTTGGTAAGTAAAGATTGACCCTCAGAACAGTCTTAACTAGAAGAGATGGAATGTCCGTACTCAATACAGTGTAATTATTGTTATCTTCTATCCATCTTGAAATCTATTAGGGCAGGGTAAGGGTTAAGAATTGGCTTGTCCCAAAATTAGTCTGTAACTTTGAAAGCCTCTGAAATTCAGTCATCACAGCTTCTGTGGAGTAAGTAAGCTCATGGGAAGTGAACTGGGCAAGCCTGTGGTGTCCCTCAAATCTGTCTGTAGATAATCTTTAACACATGTTCTGCATAATGTTACCACTTAGCAAATTTATACTTTTCAAGTAACTCTACTAATAGAACATTAGACCGAATACAGTTTTAAGTTAAGAAAGAACTAAGCCACTATGTTACTAAGGTATGCTGTGAAATGCACAGTATGTTCTGGATGTTTTTTTTGAAGGAAAGGACTAATGTTTATGGGTGGTCATGCTTTCAAGGTAAAAGTATACAAAAAAGGATTTGTGGAATATACTATGCCTCAATAAGCTAAGGTTAGGATTGTGTTATATTTAAAATAAAACATTGACCTGCATTGGAATTATCTTTTTAAGTAGGTGGGAAAATGTTTTTAGGCCAAGGTAATAATTTTTTTTTTTTTTTCAGAAATGCAGGACTGACCATCTCTATTGAATTTAAAAGATTTTCCTTCAAGTCTTAGTGTTCCCACCCCAACCCATCCAACTATGGGTTGGTAGCACCGGAGGACTATCATGTCTCAGCTGCCCAGAGGTGGCCCTATCTTGGCCCTGATCACACCCTCACCCTCATGTCTACATAAGCCACCATTCTCTCCATCCCGCTATCACAGCAGCCTCCCGGCTGGCCTCTCTGCTACCTACTTTCTTTCCCTATTTTCTCACCTCAAAAGAGAAGCTGGAGTGATTCTTTCAAAGTGCATGTGAAATTATGTCATTTCAATGCTGCTTATCCTCCAGTGGATTCTTCCCTCAATGACAAAAAAAAAAAAAAGTGACAATTTTTACAGTAAATTTCAAGACTCTGTACTGCTGGAACACTACCAAAATTGTCCTTAGCTCCTTTGACCTCATCTGTTTTGCTGTTGTTTATCGCTCACTCTAGTGTTTGTGAGCATCTGTGTAATTTCTAGTTCCCTGCTGTATTTTTCACTATAAAATCTTGTCATCTATCACCTGAATGGATAAGACATATTCTTATCTTATGTATTTTGATAAGATATTTATAGAATATATACAGTCTATACATTTTTGCTCACATGTGTATTGCCGGTCTCCATACCTATAATGGAAATTCTGTGAGGTCAGAGATATTTGTCCCTTTGTTCACTAACCTTTGGCACTTAGGACAGTGCCCTGTCTCTAAGCAGTAGCTCAATAAATATCTGTTGAATATATTCAAAACCTATATTGGTTATGATTTGTTGTAGGTCACGCAGGTATAAAATGCTGTGTGAGATAAGGAATTTAAACAAACCTTTCTTATCACTTCTAAGGAAAGCCTTAATTTGTGAATGATGTTAAGAAAGCAATAAAGTTCGAGCTTTTTTTATTCACTGGTTGTGACAGGAGAGCAAGACAGAAGCATCTGAAATCCATACCTAGCCTAAGAACCTTCATTCTTTAATTGCAACTATGCCCCTAAACAACAAAACTTTTAGCAAAGCAAGCTGATTGTCTGAATCTGCAATGCATTCATCAGGTTTCCTTCTTATTTAGTTTGTAGTGAAGATACAGACAAGTGATAAATTGGCTGAAAAGCCAACAGCAGAAAGAAATAATGAGAGAAGCAACATGTAGAATCCACTCACTGACTACTGTTCCTAAGTAACACAACAATAGCTCTATCTATGGAGGCATTGCGCCCTGGGAAGACAGACTAATCACGCCTTAAAGAATTCCTTGAGGATTCATTCTTTACAATGCCATTTCTGCTTGTTTTTCCATAGTCCAAAATGACCACCCTTCCCCCACTGCCCATGAAGCGTCCAAAGCTTATGGCTTTAGCCAGACAGAAGTTGCCGTGCTCTGCAGGGACAATTTCAAGGTACGTCTCCTTGGTTTGCAATTCTTTTCCTATGGAAGGAAATGTCTGCAGTAAGAGATAGTAACAGCATGTCTCAGAAAATAAAATTGTTTAATGAAATGAGAGAGAGAAAGTGTTATATTCAAACATTCAGAATTGATGAACCTCACTCCAAAATTGTATTTATCAAACTCAATTAAGCATTTTGTTAACTATTGCAATTACGTCACAGTTCCTAAAGAGTTTTGAGATATTTCTTTTAAAAATATGTATAAGGAAGGGAAAGAAACTTAAAAATGAAAGGTGTGTGACTTTTAATTCACAGGAACATAAACACAGACTTCAGCTTTAAAGGGAGAATGGATGTGAGGTGGTTGGCAGTGACATCTGTCACTCATTGATCACCAGGGTTGACTGGACTGATCTCCATTGCTAGGCAGGTTTCTCTCTTCACTGTCACCGCTCCATATGTGTCCCTCCTCCCATAAGCTCCTAAAGGGACCATTTTCTAGATCAAGGGCATAGGGGTAGTTGCACTCCCCTGCTAGACCCTCCAAACAAGCTCTCAAAGGGGCAAGCATGCACGTTTACTATGAGGATAGATTGGCAGGCACGATGTAGCTCTTGAAGCGATGCTGGGATCTAAACTGTACATCATCAGACTGCTACCAGCAGTGAAAAGCTGCTTAGCTACTGGAATTGTCACTGAGAAAATGCAGAACAGAAAAACTGGAGGCATTTTTATCATGTTTATGAATATTAACTAAGATGGTGCAACTTTGAAATTGCCATTTGTAATTTTATTGGCTTTTAGTAATATGTATATTTATCAATATGAATCATTTGCATATGTAAGTTCGACTATTTTCTTTATATACATAATTCTCAATTCCTTTAAGGCATAGTGATCAAAGTATTATGAGACTTCTTTGTTCTCGTATCTCATTTTTAGTATTTCTGAAAAGACCAAAGTCCTTGGACCAAAATAAATACACTGCTAAACTAACATTAAAGTTCTTTTAAAATCAAAAATTTCTTTTTCTGTAACTGAGAAATCTTTTGATAGATGCATAATTTGTATGTGTGTTCCAGCTTTGTATCTTAGATTTGAATGTTGTGAAATATTTGCAAAATCTGAAAAAAAAAACTCATTCCCCCTGTCTTTTTGAATTACTGTAATTATATTTTCAAGGTGCACAATTCCAAAAATCAGATGGATTTTAATGAAAACTTCTTTTATTCATTTTATTAGAAAAATATTTTTATAATTAACCCTTAAGGCAAATTTCACATAGTCATTAATAGCTTCTGAATAGAACAAAGATATCTGCTTAACTCCATATCTCAGTGGTTATGAGAAATTAATAGCATGTTTATTTTTTTAAAGTGAACAGAAGTTGTGAAGGTGAGCACATTGCAGATATATTGCTCAGTAAAATCTTAGAAATCATGCATTTGACTCTCTAATAATGTTTTGAAATATGTGTGTGATTTAAGAAACATGATTTGAACAACATTGCAGGAAAAAATTTAGTAATGTTTGTATCAAGGAAGTGTCCTTGATTCAAGATTCTATGTTAAACAAACATGACTTCTGCAGCTGGAATATTATGCTGTGAAATAGCACAAACAAAATGAAAGACATCATATTTGAGGAGAAAACTCCTCTTATGTAAGAATGTGGATTATTGCAATTTGTTGGTATTTTATCTGTTTATACACTAGTTTTATTGATCTTCCCTATTTGTTTCTATTCAGGCAAATTAAAATTTTGAAGTGATCCATGAACAGCTTAACTCTATAGTGTTTAGATCAGAATATTTATTGTCGATGCTATTATGTCCTGAATAGTTCTGTTCTCCTGTTGGCATTTTATGTGTTTGGGAGCTTTTCAACTTCATAAGGCAGTGCTTTATTACTTCGTTCCATTTCATTTAGGTCTCAACTGATCAAAGAAAAAGATGACATAGATCATTACCTGGAGGTGAATTTCAAAGGACTGTCAAAAGAGGAGGTTGCTGCGTAAGTATAACCTCTTAAAGGTACTTTAATATGAAGTTTGTTTCTTTGTCTTGGTTCTTTATTGAAATTTCAGTTTTCCTGTGCAGTACACTTCTTCACTGGAACATGGCATTTAAATATTAAAGCTCATATTAAATAGTGATAAGTCATGTCTATTGATCTTACACATATCAACATTTTTACTTTTATGGCTTCCAAAATTCTTATATTTACCAAGATATTATACCATAATATTTAACATATTTAAGTCTGAGCTGTTAATTGCTTATTAACCTTTATTTTAAGGTTTGTTCTTTCCATAGAGAAGAAAAGAGCTTTAAGAGAAAGATTTGTATCCTTTTTTTTCCCTTGGTGATTAAAGAAAAAATAGCTCTAGTAAGTGTATTTTTCTTTTCCCCAATAACCCACAAAAAGAGTCAACAGATTGTAGTTCACTGTGTAATTTAACAGTAATTCTAAAACTTCTGGATTTATATTATAAATGAACAATGTAAAATTTTACTTTTATCACTATTTAGAATCTAATATATGGGATAAATGAAACCAGAATAAAAATCCTTGTAAGTTTGTGAGAAATGTGTAAAAACCTAACATAATAATACCCAAACTTAATATTAGTGACCTATAGACTTAATGACTGCTATAATCAGTTAAGTGTAAACATTAAAAAAATAGAAATCTTATAAATGTAAATGCATTCTACTGAATTCATTAAACATTTTAATGATAATATTTTATGGAACAAATCTTCTAAAGTATTATCTTACATAATGTGAGATTCTACTGAAGAAATGATCCAAATAATATTTTGGTATAGGTTTCAGATATCCTGAAATAATAAACTTCTGATATATTTTATTTTGGTTCACCTTATCTTCTGAATTTGTATATAACACAGAAATTCAAAGTAGTTCAGTCTGTCAACAGCTACTTTAAAAAATAACAAATTTTTAAAAAATAAACAAAATAAAATAACAAATGTTAGCAGTAACTGTCACTCATTTCCACAGCGTTCTCTAACTGCTATGCATAATATCTAGGTTCTGACAATTATTTTGATTCTTAACTCATTAACTGCCCATAGCAACTTGTTAGATAAAATTAAAGGGCAGTATTGCATGATAGTATTGTTAGTAACTAAAAAAAATACACATAATATTTGCACTGTTACTTAAATATATAATTAGCCAAATATCTTCAATTGGCTTAATAAATTAGGAATTAAACTTATGCTTCACAAAATTCAAGAAACCAGAAACTCATATGCACCTAGGCTTTTTCGTGCAGACTGGAGAAAAATTTTATTCAAAGAGAATGTAAAATAGACTATGATTATGAATATTCTCTTAATAATATTGCACTACTTAATATTTTTCCACTACAGATATGACCAAATTGACTTCAAAAATTTTCTGTCCTTAATACTACAACCTTCTTAAAGCTTCCTTGGATAGCTTTTTAGACAACTCCTTCCATGAGATAGTAGATGCAAGTCACTAGGATGGACCTAGTACACGCTCAGCTCCCTAGTGTGCTTTGGATTGATACACATTCTAGATCTCACCCCAAACAAATTGAATTGCACATAGAAGACAAAACTGATGAATGATTTTAGCAACTCTTAACAAAGCCTACCAAGTGCCAAGAAGAATTATGCCTATTCTATTAGGCATTAAGAAAATTCTGCATAATATTTTTTATCAGTCATCCAACTCTAAAAAGATAAATTGATCCATAAGCATTTATTAAGTACTTACTTTATATCTAATAGTGCATTTTCACAGTGAGAGAAACTATAAATTTTTTCTCCTTTACAAATGTTTTTTCTGCATCGTCAAATTCCCCTTCCTATTGGATAAGTCTGACTAGTACTCATAGGTGCTCTAGCATTTTCAGAGACTTTTTCCCCCCCTTCTAGACCTTCACAGCAAGCAGAAGTATTGTTCTAATCTGTTCACATTCCATTGTTTCCTCATCTGCCAATGAATAGATTTCCATTCCATTGATCTTACACATATCAACATAAGTGCCTGCTGAAATTTCTCTGTTAGCGTCACTCATGACTGTATCCTCTTCTCATATTCCTTGATACCCTTGCAGAATTTGATAGAGGGCAACACCCCCCTTCTTGGACAGTCTGCCCTTGTAGATTGTGGGAAGCCTTGTTTTATGGTTTTCCTCTACACTGTACCCCTCAGCCTCTTTGCTGGCTCAATTTCTTTATTCAGACTCTTTGTAGCTAGGATTTCAAGGCTAGGTTCAAGGCCCTCTGCTCCAGCTACACTCTCAAGCAGGATTCAGTCCTACAACTTTAAATACTAGTCATATTTATAAATTCAACATCATCTCTCAATCGAGAGAATGTAAGTTTCAAATTTTTATATCTAACTGCTTCCTGGACATGTCTAGCTAGATATGAAATAAACATTCCAAGGCCAATAAAACTCAAAGCTAGATTGGTGCTTCCTCCCTGGTCCTCTCCCACTGCACCCCAGTAGTCTTCCTCCAGTCACTCTCTGGTTCAGCGAATGGCACCACAGCCGCCTTGATCTTTACTTTGCCTTTACTCAGCTCTGTTTGATCTATTTTGTCCACATCAGATACAACTCCAAAACATCTCCTGTCTTCTCTTCTTCCCTTCGTCACACAGCTGTCACCATTTCTTACCAAAACCACTAGGAAAATCTACTGGTCATCCCATATCCTTTCTGGTGCTACCAAACTCCAGTGCTCTTTGAAATGTGTAAGTCAAGACAGTCTTTGCTGTGAACCCTCCAAAAGCTTTCCAAACTCATCAGCTGGCCCGAAACTGTGGATGCTTTGGACTTGGCTGACCTCTCTGGTCTTACCTCCCTCCCTTTCTCTTCACCACTCTGCCTCCCTGTATGCTTCCTGTCACGTGAAGGTGCCCTCCCCATGGAGCCCTTCTCTGACCTCATCATGAAATTTAAATGAGTAATTGAGCCAGGTTAATTTAAATAACTGACAAATTCAAGAATTTATTTTACTTTGGAACTGATAGACTCGTGTGAAGGCAAGGAGCTTCGTTCATGTTTTATCATCTACATTTACAGAATGAATTTCATGTTTTGTTGATTTTTAGGTTATTATTTATTTGATTTTCTAGAAATCAAATGCATTGTATTTTATATTTAACACTGATGATTTCATTTTATTGGATATATTTTCACATGTTTCATTGATAGTGCCTGGTGATTACTAAAGAAAGATGCATCTGGGGGAAAAAACATTTGAAGTATTCATACACTTTGGGTTTTTAATTCTGTACAGTATGATCAGACTGTATTGTTATTTTCTAAAAGGACTTGAAATATCATTTATCATGCCATAATTGCTTTGAATTGTTAAGTAGTAAAAGTGTCGTAGATTCAAATACAAATTTCTGAAATGACAGTTTTAACAACTTTAGCTATGTGTATGAGGATACAAATAAACAAAATCATCTAAGGATAGAGAATGTTAATGTGATCCCTATTATTTTCTGCTTCAGATAACAGACTTTTTTTTCTGTGGAGGATTCAGTTCAGATTTGTGTGTGTGTCTTTAAGACATGGTTTTCTTTTGTCATTTCTTACTTTCATTTATTGACATTTACTGAGTTCTTTCTGTGAATCAGCTCAGTGACAATTAGGGCTGTCAATTACCATATTACCAATAATGAAACAAAACCCATTTAATTTCATATCTTTTAAGGGTTTTTTTCTCTTGACTAATTTTTCTCTTGACTAATTTTGAATTGTATGATTCAGAGTAAGTTAGTGTTTAACCAATTAAGTTTTTATTTTAAATTTTAAAATTCTTCCAATGATATTTTTATAAACTACAGGTATGTTTATTTTACCAGTGTGGTGCCTGGGTTACCCAGTGGTCAGACATTTAAATAGAATCAAATATTTCATAGCATTATAACAGAGATTTATACTCCTTTGAGTGTGCCCTTATCAGACTCACTCATTTTTGTGTAATTTTAATGCTTTTATGAAATCACTTTTCCTTTTCAAAACATTTTGCTCTTTTGCATATAATGAATTGTCTGTGGAAGTCTGCAAATTAAGCTTTCCAAAGAAGCCAACCACCAAGAAAATGCATACATGATGGTCTTAGCATATTGGGTTTTGTTTCTGGCAGTGTGCTTTGCTAGTATTAAAATAGAAAAGGTCGGGGCTGGGGCATAAGCGGCATACGCGCCTGCTTTGCAAGCAGGCAGTCATGAGTTCCATCCCCGGTACCGATAAAAAAGGAAAAAAGACCAAAAACAAAAAACAAAAATAGAAAAGGTCCCAAACTCTTCAGGCTCCTCTCAGTTTTTTTATATGGTTGAAAAATGTTCCTTAAAATATTCCTGTTATTGCAGGTATATAAAAATCTTAGGAGATACCCATATCCTATTTTGTTTTCTATATTGAAAACTAAAGGCAGGGTAATGACTGTGGTCTCTATCTCAGTTCTTAAAGCAAATCCGTGCTAGGGGATAATAAGAAATTTGATTACTGCAAGGCTTTGATAGGAGTTATCAGATCCAGGTCATCTCTGGTCAGTGTAGCTAGGTGATATCTACCTTTGGATTAGAAAGCTCCAATATTCATTTTGCCTTTGAAATAAAAACTTTTCAGTGTCTAACTAGGGAATCAAAATGCTTAAATGTTTAACAAAGAGAATAAAAATTCTGCAGAAAATACTGTTCTTTGGTAGGTTTAAATTAGATTATTTACTAAATTTAAAACTATATTTACCTTAGAATGACTCTCTGAGAACATTTTAAACACTCCAAACTTTCTTCAATCTAGGAAGACAATTTATCAAGACACATATACTTTATATGTTTATAAATATATGTATATATATTGTCTTTGAATATATATATATATTCCCAAACATTATGCTTTAATTATTAACCTCAATTTTCTGTATATTACTGGTTAAACCTGGTTGAATACATTTTAAATATTTTTCTTCAAGTTAACACATAAACATGTTAA